CTCTTCTTCCTCCTGCACCTCTTCCTGCATCTCCCCATCTCCTTCTACATCCTCCTCATATTCCACTCCTTCGTCCTCCTCCTGTCCGTCTGTGTCACTCATCCTCTCGTCCATTTTGTCCTCCTCTGGTTTGATCCATCCTTTAGGAGTCCTCCAGGCCTCCGTCCACTCTGTGCTGTCCATGATCTCCTCGTCCAGCTGGGACGTGAGGAGGAGGTTTTTGTCTTCACGTCTCTTAGTCAGCATGGCGCTGTGTTCATGATGGGACTGCAGCGAAGACTGGCACCACCTGTGGACATGTAATGTTAATTAACGGTTGAGCATGTTCTAACCTGATAACAGCAGGACCCAGAAATATGTGTCTACAACATAAAAATATATCTGAGACGATACAAATAACACAACTATGGTGAAAAGACAAAAAGTCGTCTTGGTTTCACACGGGACACAAACGGTCCGGTGTCATTTCATCAGAGCAGCCTACGCTGACTTTCTCGCTCTTTATACTTTGTCAGTTTCTCTAACTACCTGATGATGATGATGACGAAGAGTTTACATTTGATGCTAGTTTAAAGTCTAGTTCTCTAGTTGCTAGAAGTGGCCTCGCTGCGTCGGTATAATAAGCCGAAGATCCCCGAACAAGTATCGCTACTTGGCGCGTTGGGAGTGAGACTATATTGGCTGTAGTCTATATTTCCACTGCAACAACCTGAAGATAACCAAACCCACACGTTTAGATTCCTTTTATAAAACAGAGACAAAGCTGTTTGCTCCAGTTGTACTATGCAGAAATACTTCAAACCAGCGTGTGACTGCCTTCACCGTTCAACATCATTTCTAGGGGGAGTTACGGTGACTTGGGAACAATGTGTGGATCTGGTCAGTGAAGCGACCTCCTAGTGTGAGTCAGGAGCTTTGAAGAACAGGTGACCTTCCACAACGTTGAAGCCATTGAAACCACCCACCTGGTCTGCTGCCTGAATCCCCAGCAGGAGCTCCAGTTTTTGCGGCGTTCTTCTTCTTCCTCGGGAGGAGCAGC